GGCCAGGCTGGATGAGGCTTGGAGCAACCTGGTCTAGTGGAAGGTCTCCCTGACCATGGCAGGGGGTGGGACTGGGTGGGCTTTAAGGTCCCTTCGCACCCAAACCATTCCATGAGATTCCATGACATCTCCCATTTATCCACTTCTTTCTCATTATGGCAGAATACAGCTGTTCCATAGAAACGTGGTGAGCAACGTCCAGCTCTGGAGCTGTAATTCCTACAGTCTGAATCTCAGCTCCAGAGGACCCCCAGACCAGTCCCCCAATGTGTCAGCCCAGTTAACGGGTCCCACTCCAACTGGCCCAGCTGCCAGGCGCTCAGGAAGTGCTCACTTGGATTACGCAAAGCCCAGAAGAAATAGGGGCGGGATGCTGGTGTGTTTGTTGTTTCCTTGGTGTGTGGTGGTCTGGTTGGTTGGTTGATTTGAACAACACTTTCATCAGTAATTATCCCATAGCTTCTTACCCCAGGCGGCTGGGCCTGCAGGATTTCCATGGCTTCGGCATCACTCAGGCCCAGCTGCAGCCACACTGGGTGGGTATGGAGGAGTTTGTCCAGGATGCTTAGCTTGTTGGACAGGCTATCGTATCCAGAGTCCCGGGGGCAGCTTTTCACATCATTCTCAGGACAGACTTCGTCCATGTCCTTTACTAGGCTGAGAAAAATGTAAAGGAATTAAATTAGAGGTTAACCTGCCATAAGCAGAGTTATCATACAGCGAACAGCACTGCTGGCACCCCTGACTGGAATTTCCCTGCTGAGGACACATACAGTTAGAGTACACAGCATTCCCTCGTGGATAAGATTTCTTGCGTTCAACTGTCCTCAGTTTACGCTGTAAGATAAGCCTTGGCATTCTTCTGTTAGCTTCCTGAAATCTGGCAACCACTCTGAATACAGGTGTCAACTGAATGTTTGCCTCCTTTCCCTGGTATGTTCCCGTTCAGAAAACCCTTCCATCCAAAGGTATTTCTGCAATTTACGTATTTTTTATTCCCAGATAGACTACAAAAGCTACACCCCACAGAAACCTTCCTCTGTCCTGCCTGCCAGGAAAATTCCTCAAACAAACAACTTCAGGACCAAAAGGCAAGTAAGGAATTGTGTACTGATGCTCCTGATTCCTTCTACTCTCGAACGGCTCCTGTGTGTGGAATAAAGGTTGTGCCAAGTGTGAATGTGGTTGGTGTTAACATTCGTTTGGGATGGGGCAGCTGAAGTTGCTGCTCAATTCAGGAGCGAAGGGCAGTTCCTGGGGGCTGCAGAGACTCGTTACACATTAAAAGCCCACAGAAAGGGAGCACTTGGAGAACTGTGGTTGCGAGCTTCACCATCACTCATGTAACGCAGCACACCCAGTGCAACGGTACGTGTGGCGCTGATTCCAGTTCAGCGCTAAGCCAGCAGTACACCCTGGGGTCCTCCCAGTGCTGGAAATCCCCGCAGAACAGTCACACTGGTATCCGCTTCCTGATGACAATATCTAAGCATAGACAACCCCCCCCACTACATCAGACCATTCCTCCTGGAGGAGGTGCCCTGAGCTACTGCACCCAGAGCCAGCAGGTAAAGCCTTCCCAATCACAGCAGCACTGAGTCCTTTAACAAAAAGCCTTCCCCTCCAAAAACCCAACCCCAAAACAAAACCCAACAACCCACCAACAAATGACCCCGAACAACCAAACTGCTCTCTGCCAGCTTCAGTCAGCAATGTGCCACATCCCCGCACACAGCCAGAAAGGAAACGTATTGCCAGGTAGGAACAGGCACCATCGTTACAACCTGGCACTACCTGGACCAGCTGTCACTGCCAGGTCACCATGTGCCTCTACCTTCCTTCTGTACTCCTTCCGTTTGCTTATTTAAGAGGTGATGCCCTTCACATTTACAAGGCATCCTCATTCCAGATCACCTTCCCAAGTGTCAGAAGGTGTTAGAAACAGCCCACATTCCTTCAAGGCAGAAGGGGAGGAGTGCTCACATCGGTTCCGACAGGGCCCCCAGCCAGGGTCACCCACCACAACCTCCCACCACTATGGGGATTTGCGCGACCCTCACCACTACCCGTGCCAACGACCCTGACACACCTCAGCCACGGCACAAGGGTTTGCAAAACCGCTACGTGTCCTAACTCATCCTTCTCACGCTTCACTGCCACTCAGCAGTGAGGAATATTCCTCTTGCTTCTTCCCCAGTCACGAGCGCGAAGAGAACAACAACAGTAACATAAAGTGGATCTTCCTAAAACTGCAGCCAAGTGTGAACCTCGCTCTGTTCCCACCACAGGCTTCCCCAGTTAACCCAGTCTGACTCCCCACCACAAAAGCGCCTGGATTTCTGTAAATCTTGCAACCCAGCAGGCCTTACCAGCACCAGCCTAGCAGATACAGCCACACTGAGCACCGTCTGGGAGGGAACAACGCCCCTGCTGAGCATCGCCTCCAGGCAACAGCAGGACTGTCTTTCCCCATCCTGTCACCACTGAATGGACAGGACAGAGCTGTTTGGGAAAAGGCTGTTGGATACTTACCTACCTGTCAACTGTAACAGAGACCACGGAGATGCTCCGAGGGCTGGAACCCCTCTACCATGGGGACAGCCTGGGAGAGCTGGGGGTGTACAGCCTGGAGAGGAGAAGGCTCCGGGGAGACCTTCCAGTGCCTGAGGGGGCTACAAGAAAGCTGAGAGGGGGGACTTTTCACAAGGGCAGGGAGTGACAGGACAAGGGGTAATGGGTTTAAACAGAAAGAAGGAGATTGAGAAGGAAGAAATTCTTCCCAGAGGGGGTGGGAAGGCACTGGAAGAGGTTGCTCAGAAAAGTTGTGGATGTCTCATCCCTGGAAGTGTTCAAGGCCAGGCTGGATGAGGCTTGGAGCAACCTGGTCTAATGGAAGGTGTACCTGTCCATGTCCCTTCCCACCCAAACCAGTCTGATTCCATGAAGCAATTCACTGAGCAAGACACAGAGGACAAGTCCAAGTTCTTAACTGCTGTGGCCAAATGTGGAAGCCACGGGCGGTAGGACTGCCCGATGCGAAACGTGAGGGAGGGAGCAAAGTTCTGCCCCTGTTTCTGTCATGGTAAGGGAGCAGGAAGGGAATCAGCCCCAGCAGCTGCCACTGCCAGCACACCATGCCAAGACCATTCCACAGGCACCAGATGCTCTGGAAAACTGGGGCTTTACAGCCTTCCCTGCAGAGGGACAAGAGCAAGGGTCTCCACTTGCCCCCATTCCCAAAGACAAGAGCCACTCAGGGTCCTATGGCTGTCGGGGGAGGCCAAGTGCCTCCTGAAGGGCCACCTTGATGCCACCCATCCTACTTGGACATGAGTTCCCACTGCACGTGGCAGCTCTCCTTCTCCTGTAAGAGGGCACCAGGACAGCGTGGAACAGAAATTCATCCCATTTATGCCCTTTTCGGACAAGTCCGCATTACTGGGACATGTGGCTGCACTGGGAAAAGTCCAGACACCAAACACCATCGGACACTGAAAGGCATGGTCATAGAACCATAGAATGGTTT